TACACTTAAAATAATTATGTGTTCGTGTTTACTGTTATTATTAATAAAAATAATTTCTTTTATAATAATCTGGCTGACTGAATGTTGCGTATTGACTTGTATTATTTGCTACTAATTGAGGATAAGAAAAAATGGGGTAAATACTAAATATAATTGCACAAAGTCGATGTTGGAGCCACAACTGCTATTAATTTTAAATGTAATTGTTTATGTATTAATTTTCAGTGTAAATATTGTAATTGTTTGACCAAAAACTATTTTTAATAATAAATTAAAGCATAAAATTATAAATGAGCTATTTTTCTTTTAATAAACGCACTTGTTATAGAAATAATTAATTTATTTACAAAAAGGGGTATCACGGATACATTTAATCAATTAATTGATTACTTAACATTATTTATTAATATGTATAAAGGGAATAAATTAGAAATACTATTCGTTTTCGCTGTTTCCACTGTTTTTTGTTATAAATACTGGTTGACTAGCAGAATTTGATGCCCCACCCAATGAACACAGCTAAAATAACATTTAAATTAGTTTGAAAGTCTAACTATTGAAAATGGAGGCCTTAATGTTCAATATTTACTTGAATAATTTGGGGTTGAGCTGCTGCTTGAATGGGGGCTGCTTGTATAATTAGGGGCTGAGAAGTATTGTTTTGTAGTTGCATTCTTATCATTTGGAGTTGTTGGGGAGATAGCTGAATCTAAAAAGAAAATTAAATAAGTTTCAATGAAGTACATTATACAAGAACAAAATACAATTAAAACTTCAATTCAAATAATAGATTTAAGTAGGTTTAAGTTTATTTTTGGGCGTCAAAATTGCATTAAAACATAAAACTATCAGTTTTAAATGATTGAGAAATTCTTTGGGGAATTAACTCTTGATTTTATGCTAACTTACAGGTATTTGTTGTATTTCTCCACTTGGTGTTACAATTTGTTGAACAATTTGAATACCACCTGTTTGTGCTTGGGAAGGGGACGTGGGACTTTGAGGTAGCATGACCTGAGCTTGGGTTACATTTGTAGACGACGTGGTGGATGCACTGGCATTCTGTAAAAGTTTACACACATTCTCTTATGTGAGTTAACTGCCTTTACTGTGGTCTTTAGAAACAAGTGCCAAAAGCAGTTGAAAATAATTTACCTGGTCCACAGAACTAACTTGAACTGTTTGTACTTGAGGTTGTACGATTTGAATAGCATTTTGGGGTTGAGCTGTAGTAGTGGCAGCAGTAGTACTGGCTCCTGACTGTGTTGTACTGTTTGATTGTAGAGAACCTGCTTGATGTTGTTGAGCTAATGAAAAGTAGTAATGGACCTATCAAAAATTGATAATTTAAAATACAAAACAGGCCTATAGCAGACTATGAGAGGAGTTACCTGGTCTGCATTCACAGATAACTTTCCAGTACCTTCTTCCTTTACCTTCGTAGGTTTAATATCATCCCTGGGTACAATATCAATGAGAAAATCAAACTGGTCATATTTAGTTATGGCCATTGCAATATCATTTCTCTAAAAATAACCATTTCTTAATATATTAATCTATCAAAGCAAATATTATGAGAGCATACTTGTAATGTACGTCGTTTATTGTCTTCTGTGTGTATCCATGCCCTAAGTGTTAATTCATGTATAAATATTTCAGCTGCTTTAGCAAAGAGTAATGGTGCTTCTGCAGATATCATTTTAACTTCTTCATCAAGCTTCATTATCTTCTTTATTCTTGCCAAAGGTAGCACTTGTTGTTTAAGGTCCATCTAATGTGAAAAATAACACAGTTTATTAATGTGTTATTTAAAAACACCTGATAAATATGCTTACAACTCCAATTCCCCTTATGTCTTCCATTACTTTGGACCAAAACTGCTGGAGTTCTGCCTGGGCTTCGCTCTGGGTTTGACATTGATCTTCTGAAGTTGCTGGTTCTGCTTTAGATTCTTCTACAGTGTCGCTACTTATTATAAATAAATTGTAATGTAAATAAAACGTGAAAATAGACAGACCAGAATCCGTAATATAAATACTACATCAGTTTTTGCTAGGTTATTTGTTAAAGTGTAGTATCAAGCAAGTACTTACGCGTTTACAAAAAATACAGACATAGTAAAATAGTTTAATTTCTTTCTGGAAAATTAAATTCTTCTTGGTTAAATCAGGCCAATCACTTTTCTTCTATAACTTTTGCAATCCAATCATATTAAAAACTACGAAAATGAGACAAGTGATTCGTGGATTTCTTCTTATTGTTCTTACATCATTACACTAGTTGGACACTATTAACAAGAAATAAAAAACCAAAATTAATTAATTTAAGCTGCTTATGTGGTTTCTGTTATGTAGTAAAGCTTTAAAATTAACAAATAATTAATTTAATAATACATTTGAGAATTATAGGTTATAAACATGCAGATATAGGCCACTGTAAATCTCACCACCATATTGGCTACATAGCTTGTATAGTTCGCACATTTACTGACAGAGGGTCCTACCATTTATTGTTTTAATTATAATACAAAAACGTTCTTAATTAATCAAAAGTTATAATGTTTAATTTGCATTTAGAAAATAAATTGATGGTGAAGAGACTCCAACGAATTTCTTTTTTTAAAAAGCAGCAATAAAACTTGGATGACGAAATGGTGTTAAGATTCGGTTTCCTGTAAATAATTTTTGGGCTTTACTTTTTAGTGTTCGTATATGAAAAATTATTCCCATTTTTAACATTAATGATTACATTTTGGTCAAAGGGTGATTAAATCAATAACAACTATATAATAAATAAACATATTCATTCCTTCCTATCTAGTCAAAAAATATTTCTTCTTATAATACTATTTATTTGTACTTATGAGCGCCTTTATTTATTTCACTTCTTTTTTGTAAATCTAATATCAATACAATTTATATATTTGAAGATATTCATCTACTATTTACTTATTTTTTGTGTATATCTGCAATTTAATTTAATTTATTAACTTTTTCAAATTTTTATTTTCGAAGTTTAATCCAATAAGGTTTGTAAGTAAACAAAAATTTAGAAAACTGTTTTATATATTTTGAACTTTTTTTATTTAAGAAGTATCGTCGAGGTAATGTAAGTGTTGTTATTTTAATTGCTTATTATTTTTAATAACTAATCTACAGCAGCTCTTAACAAAGTTGAATTATTTTTGCAAAATGTAATGCATGATTTTATAATTATTTAAAATAAACGACACCCAAAATTTAGCAAGAAAAAAATAGTGGTTTGGGTCAAGTATGCTGATTCTAAGGTATCTTTTGTTTTGGGAATGAGGCGATTGAAATAATTCTTGACGTGAGAACATCTTACAAATTATTTATTATCTATTGTGGCATCGAGCGTCATATTCTCTTCAAATGAAAGGGCAAATGCCTACGTCTTTGAGAATGATGAATCAGTATTTTAGTAATGTTAAGAACTGTTTTTGAAGGTACTATTCATAACTGAAAGAAATGTACCTATATAATTATTAAAAAACACATCGACAACTTCGACTTTTTACACTTAAAATAATTATACAGTACATGAATAGAAGTGAATTGCTGTTTTCGGTGTTTTATTGATGATTATTATGTATTGGTGAATAGTTGAATAAAAGTGATATTTAACAATGTAATGGTAATGGTAATGCTAATGGAAATTGTAAAAGTAAAGGTAAGTTTTCTTACGATTAATTTTTTTGTTTCACGTTTATTTGCGATAATAATTAGTTGTTGAAAAGATCTGCCCTTTGACGCTTGTAAGTCCATCACAATAAAAAGGAGTTACAGTTGTAAAAAGTTAAGCTATCGGCATCTACGTACACTAAAAAAGAGTGCGGGACGACTGGCCACACGGCTCACGCGAGTTATTACAATACATGCGCGAAATATATGGTATGTGTGTATAATATATGTATATAGTCAGTCAGTTATAAATTAAAAAATTAATAGTCTATAATTTTTTACAAGTTTTGGCAAACGTAGCTTCTGGAATTAGTTCTCTATTATGTTACGTTTTTAAAACATCAGTACTTCGAGATATAAATTTCAGCTGTGACATTTTTTTTTTCGTTAAATATGAAGGCAATAATTTTATATTTTTTAGATTACAAGAATTAAAATAATATTTCAATTATCAATTTGTTGGTTTATTAAATATTTATTTAAATTGTAGTAAAATATCAATGAAACATATAATACATTACAAAATTAGGTAGCTAAAAGGGCATAAAAAATTAAAAAACAGTGTGATACTACGTAGAAAATTACTTCATTCATGACTTTTGGTTAGACCTAAGATTTGGAAATATTAAAAATTAATTTTCAATTTTGTTGTATTTCTGTTTTTCTTGTGAAACGTAATAAATGCGTATCTAAAATCGACAGTATTAAACTGATAATATTCTTTACATTTTTTATCTCTTATACATCTTTCATTTAGGATTGTGGTCAAATTGTGTAATTAGAACTGGATTAAAAAAAAGTTAGGACAGGCTAATAGTGCGACTATTCCATGTCTATATCTACATATTTCGCGAAACTTTTCGTTGATTTTGTTTATAGTGGAGTAGTAGTTAATGTTGACTCTTGATCCTTTTTCCAGGAACAAAACTTTGAGTCCTTTTATTAATTAGCATTTAATTGTACATACAATCAAGATTAGAAAATTTGTAATTGTTGATTAAAGCGTAACTCAGTGTATTGAGTTTTCGTACAATTTTGAAGTTTGACATTAGTTGATGGTTAATATTATAAACTAAAATATCTACGAAAATATTTAAATAATTATTAAAATGATATTAATTATAAAAACAACTTGAAGAACAATTTCAAACGGTTTATAGGTATGGCCCTCGACGCAAGAAAAAGTTGGTTTTTAGGTTTGTTTTTCTTTTTTTCATACTGAGTTTACGATAACCATAAAATATGATGATGATAATGATGAAAGTTCGTGAATTTTTATTAAGATTTTTGTAGATATGGTATGAAGGAAGACAGTAATTATAAGATTACTTAAACAGGCCAGTCCCCAATAGTAATAACAACGAAAAGGGGGTTGTCTATTTCATCAACANGTTTTATTTTGCAATTTATAATGTAATATATAGACAACCCAACATACAGCAATTATTACAATTCTGATAAGATGTGACTACGAAGAAAGTTAGAGAATGCCTTTTTCTCACGCAAATGAAAGTTTTTTACGTGAAACTCAAAACCATCATCGAACAACTTTTACAGACGTCTTTGTGTATGATATGGTAGCAGACAAACTCTTACACGTTTTTATAACATTAATTACTAAAGATATATAACTGTATCGTTTTTGATATAATTGATTTGATTTTTTATGAAACAACTGTTTGGTATTTTTCACTATGTTTTGTTCTGTTCCTGGAAAACAGTCGGGAGAATTAAAAAAATTAAATAAGAGGTCGACATGGAATGTCCCGGATTTCGGTCTGATTTTTGAAGACATTAGTTATTTTAGTAAAATCGAAGTATGTACAAAAAATTAATATCTATACAAATTACAGTGACAGCATTGAGTTTGTAATAGTCGGTTCTTTTGCTTATTAAATTTGTTTAAAAGTACCAAACTAAATTTATTGTGTTTTATATGATTTTGTTTAAATATTTGCCATTAGTTGCAGAACGTTAGAAGTAAATATGCATTTTTTTTTATGTTTTATATACCTAACTGTATATGTATTGCTATTTATGTGTTTTAAGAGGCGTCAGATCAGTTGCTTGATATAACGCTATACGCCGTACGCGACGCTGAGGGTGACAGCGTCGTCGACGTCTCTTCTTGTCATTCGACCCTCCGATTATCATATAAATACTCACCTGCCAATAGGGCACGATTCGTCGTTTTGAAGTCGTGCTATCTACATCGTAGGAAGCTGGGTGGCAGAAACTTCGAATTATAATTAAGTATTATATTTTATTGAAATATAAACGCGAAAATTGTTATTGTCGACATAAAGAAGTGGTGTAAACAAAGTGCCAATTGACGTCTAAAGGTAATTTTTTACCACTTTGTTTATTTGATTTGTTGTAATTTGAAGGACTAAAATTAAATGAAACTTGTAAAAAATTTTGTATTAAATGAAGAAAAAATGTAGTACCTACTTTATGGAAAAATAATCTAAAATATTTTGATAAATATACTTAAAGTTGTTGATGAAATAAACTTATGTTAAAATGCTGCGTTTTAAGAACGTATTCTTTTTAAAACAGACCGCTTCAAAT